TTATTAAAAAGTATAGTAAATAGTGTAATATTAAGCGAAAAGTATTGATAAAATAAAACTTTATAATATTAAAGGGCATGGAAAATGAGAAATTGTGTTACGAAAAAAAATATAAAAAAATAAGTTATTGGTTCAAAATATTTCAAGCTTAACTCTAAGCTCATTTTTAAATAAACTTGAATTTTTACAAGAGAAAAAATGAATTTTGTTTAATCATAAGTTAAATGTGTAGAAATTTTCTAATAGAACTTATTTTATTTTTTACGTTTTAATTTTACATACACTAATTTTAATTTTTTAAAGGATTATTTATTTATTTATTCAATAAGTGAAGTTAATAATGGTAATAATTTGATAAACACTATGAAGTTATTTACTCATACTAAAAATGTGAGATTCCTATTGTTATTTCTTTTTGTTTAACTCACTTATTATATTCTATCCTTCCTCGTCCCGACGAAATATATACGCACAAACAATTTAATAACTTATAAGAGTGGACTTGGTTTCTTGCAACTTTACATTTTTCTAAAAGAATTTAAATAATTATAACGAGGTTGCTACTGTTTAAGGATCTTAAAAGGTAAAAAAAAAATAGTAGATATAGTTTTTAAAATATGATGTTTAATTATTAAAAAGTTGAATTATATAAATCATTTTTTAATATAATCGAGTTTCATTATATAAAAACATTTTATTTCACTAAAACTTTCTTTAAAATCTTCTTTAACTTTTCTTTAGATTTTAAATTCAATTTTTCATCTAATTGACGATAAAAAATCATAAGTGAAATCACTACATAAAATTCTTTATAATTGTCCGATCATAAAAACAAGATAAGTTCACTTTTATTCCATTTTTAGAAGCATTTTAAAGTTTTGAGGTGCAGCTAGGTATGATGACCATGCATGTGTCTCAAATATGCTCAAAGTGAATTTCTGTTGAATTGTGATCTTAATGATATGCTTAATTTTATCTGATGTTTGGGTATGTAGGTAGTTAGAGTATTTTGTGTGATATAGAATTCTAGGAACATTCCTAAGTGTTTTACAATAGGTAAAGGAAGCTAGCTTTAAATTTAATTATAGATGATTAATGAAGTTGAATTTTATGGTAATGACTTGTGATAAAATGGTTGTGTGAAATATGTTTTAAAATGTTGATTCTAAATGTATGAAGTGAATGATTGAATTAATGCTTGGTATGTGATTGAACTGTCTATGTTGATGGTACCTTTGAATTGGTTGTGTGACCTAATTGGACTTATATAAGGGTGTAGTATGAGTAAAATTTTGTGTGTTTTCAACTGAGTGAAAATCCTAAACAAGTTGGATAGAAGCACAATCATATCAAAATTGACCTGCATAATTATGTAGAATCATTGGGTGAACATATGACTTAACGAGCAAGAATGGAAAATTACAACTTCGAGAACTCCAACACTTTGACCCGCTAGGCTAGTTATTTGTCGTTGAGTGAGCTTGCCAAAAGTGGTGTCAAGAGTTATATTCGTTGAGCGAGCTAAAGCCTGATTGGGCAAGTATGAAAATGCTAAAAACCCTGAGAGCAAGGTGTGAGCTTAATTGTTGAGCAAGAAAGTCTTGTTAGGCGAATTTTAAGAAAATTTAGTCCTAATGCTCTTTTGCTAAGCAAGCCCTATATGTTGTTGAGTGAGAAGATTTTAAGCAAAGTCAAAGAGCATCAAGGTAGCATCGTTGGGCAAGTATTTTGGTCACTAGGCAAGTCTCCTCCTAGGGAATACTTATTGAGCGAGGATGTACGGTTATGGAATGGTAAAATTAGTTTAAATTTTGAAAAATCTGTTATGCTTTGATGTGAATTATGTGGAATGAAAATGTGGTTATTCCTAGGGGAAGAATACTATTGTGTGTGGTGATATGTGAAGTGTATTGATGACATATGTCGATATGAGATTATCCTAACTCTACTAAGTATTAGACTTATCTAAAGAGAGATACCTAGTTGTGAAAGTTGGAGGATTTTTTTTCTCTGTGCAATTGGTAAAAGATCGAACTTACTAGATAAAATTTACCTTGTCATACTCTTAGGAGAGATGTTGTCAGATTATATAGTAATAGTCTCAAAGTGTACTCAATAAACTAATATTTCGAAGGTTCTGAGATGTTTATCTATTTGTAAATTGGTCTTGTTAAAAGATGTATGTATATTATAAAGCTATTGTTTAAATTTACAGTATAATCTAAATTTATTCTAACGTGTCCTGTGTTCTTTGAAGTGGTGTTGATATCCACCTATTATGTCCGTTTAATTCATGAGAGCATAAATAATACAAGGTCTAGAAGGTGAAAAGGAACAATTTTGAAACTATCATAAGAAAATAAGAAAATAGTTGATAATATAAATATAGAGAATAGTGTGATGCAATAGTTTACTCTTTATTATCTTTTGAAATAATATTGAATATATTTTTCATCTATATTATATTATAAACTTTATAACTAAAATGTGTATTTGATATAATTATATAATAACCTTTTGATAGAGTTTTGGTGTTATAATTGAGTCTTTATATCCAAATTCAAATATGATACTTCATTTTAAATTAGAACAATTTCTATTACTTTTTAAACTTAAATTGAAATACATTGTTATCATCTATATGAGTACCATTATCTTTAAATTTAAATCAAATCCTATTTTTCTGTAAGCTTTAAGAAGTCTCATTTGGAATATTATTGTCATAATTATACAATTATTTTCAAACTAACACAAAATTAAACGACATTTGAATGATTTTTATAATAATTCATATTATCTAATTGAACAAAAAAAAATTCTACCCTTGTGGAATTGTGGGAGTTAAAAAGCTATGTGTTAGAAATAATAATGAAATAATTTGATTGGGAGGAATTGTTGGAAACAAAAATAGGCAGTTATGAAAAATTAAGGGTATTAAAATTGTCATATAGGGCTATTAAAGCATTAAAATTCCTTTGAAACGATAATGAACGTTTCGCAACGACAAAAGATGGAAGGGAATTTAACTCAAGCATGTAATTAATAGAGGCAAGTACACGAATTAACAGAAGAATAAAATTAATTCACAATGTTTAAGAAGTGAAATTATATTCATAAACCTAAGCTTTATCTAGTACAAAAGAGCAATATATGAAAATATTTTCTTTATTTTATTAATAATTAAAATTACATTTTATTTTATATTCTATTTTAAGGTTTAATAATTTGTTATAATTTTTGTCAAAATTATTTTCTCATTTTTTTTGGTCTAGTAGTTATGATTTTGGTCAAAAAGAGTGAATGTGCTTTATTTTGTAAAATTGATATTAATATGTTTAGAGGATTAGAGGATGACAACAAAATAATATAAATAAAAAATAACATTATATATATGCAACCATCTAGATGTCTTGATGCTATGTTATTGTTTATACGGTCACATTGTCATTTTCCAACATTTGTCAACATACACTCTTCTTAATAAAATAAAAATTAAATTAAAAACTCTATTGAATGATTTAGAGAAAATTAATAAAAAAAAGTCTATTAAACCCACTAAATTCTATTTTAAAGAGTCAAATCATGTATACTTTGTAAAAATAGGAGAGAAAAATTGAAGACATTAGATACGAGTCATTAAAAACGTAATTAGAAAACATTACTCATCCTCATCGATTTGATAAAATCAAAGAAAACACAAATTATCATTATTACACATCAATATATTCTATAAAGTCTGAGATAACCCATCCGTTATCTTACTAAGTCATAAACAACTCTACCGTCATTTTTAGAATACCATCATTTTTAGAAGATAATCCCAATTTAGGCTTAATAGTATATCCTACTAAGGTATAGTCATACTTATTCAATTTATCTATTTAAGACTCTGTGATTTATAATATAAGTTTAAATCTATTTAGATCCATATAAAAGTCTATAAAATACAATTCATCCATAAATATTTAATTTTATACAATCCAAATGTATAATCACATATTTTAAACAAAAATTATTCTACAATCATACTTAAACTTCATACTAAATATATATTTTCAAACACAAGTTTTATATTGCAAAACTAGATTATTTTTATATTTTCTTCTAAACATTTTAAAATTCAATTTAAAATTAAAATGGGAGTATAGATTAAAAAAATGACACGATAAGATATCAACTATACCGATTAAAAGAAGTGGTCATAGATGGATAAATATTAGATTCTCTACATAAAATTAAATTTGAAATTAAAGCTATATTTACTTACTAGAAAATAATAAAATTGTGTTGATACTTTTATGCAATGAGAAGGAATAACTCCTAAACTCATCCTTGGTGTAAATAATTTATTCGTTGACCATAAATTCATAAATTTTTCAAAGAATTTCACACTATCAATGTAATATAAATTCATAAATTTTTCAATAGCTAGCACAAAATGATAACTTATTAGTTGATACGTATTTTTGCCATGATAGATGTAATTTAAATTCATTCATTGTTTTATTTTTAACATTCATATCCTTAAAATTGCAACATAAAACCATTTATCCAATGTTTTCAGTAACAAATAATTAGCCCACACATAAACTAATATTTCTCAATTTTCAAAGAACTTCTCATGTTTCCAAAATCCACCATCAATGAAGGTTTAACTATAATTCTCACAGAAAGTTGAGACAATCCACAAGTAGCAAAAGTGATAATTATACTAAATTACACGTAAAAGATTGAAAATAATGTGAATCCAAACACTGTAATTTTATTAACACATACAAATGGGAAAATAATAAAATATAGAGTACACATTGACATAAACTTACATGAAAAATACAGAAGATTGTGTACAGAATGCAGAAACTAACTTCCATCCTGAGGTGGGGACATCAATTTAAGGGTGTGTAACGGAAAATTCTAACTAAAGGTAATTTCTGGATTTTATCAATATGAACCAACAACAACATGTACATGAGACAGATAAGAACCTTCTGACATTACCATCAAGGAGCCATGTTTCCCTGTCTTGCTTTGAGGACAAGCTCTTCAGTAGTGGTGCCAATGATTTCGTTAGCCCGTTTTAGCCCAACGCATTGATACCGACCAACAGAATCCTGCATAACAACAAGAGTTTCCAGTCAACAAAGGAATCAAAAGGTTCTGACAAATTTTTAGAGGGTCACAATGTTTGAAAATTATCTTCTAGTAATCATAATGGTGTATAACACTACACCAAGTAGCTTTTACTGAAGAAAGAACACAGCAAAATCAAGAAAACAAAAAGTTCCAATTTTACTTGGTGCTCTCAATTAGGCTGAAAATCTGTTAAACTCTATAAAATGATAATGTGTTCAAGAATGAACCCTAACTGGCAAACAAGGCACAAAGTTCAACCATCTTAAACGGCTTCCAGGAAACATATTTGATAAAATTTTAGACAAGTTTGTTTATGCCGCAATAAAGGAAAAACCTCGTGATCTTTAAAGTTTACCTTCCATTTTAAAGAAATAGATGAAATTTCCTACTTCTGTTAAAAGAGTGAGATATAAATATAAGAGAAGAAATGGGAATAATAAAACCAAGTTACAGGGGACAAAAAAGGTCAGTTTTCCTTTAAAGAGATATAGTCTTATATACTTATAAGCACTACGAAATAAAAAGAAATATTTTTGAGGAATCTCACCCGATTAACAATTCCCAATTTCTCTAATTTCTCAACGGCATCATCCACATCAAAATTACAATCCTCACCAAACTCTTCTTTGATTAGTTCCTCACACCATTGATCAAGATCCTGAGTCATATACCAAACAACTAATGTAAGTACTTAGACAGCACTAATAAAATTTTGCTCTTCTTAGTATATAATAGAATTTCTAAATATAGAGAAGGTGGCATAGAGAACAAAAGAACAAGATTGCTAATATCTCATGATCATGTGTGTACCTGTCGTGTAGCTTTGCCCTGTTCCATCAGAATAAAGAATGAAACTATTACCTCTTTGACCTACACATTAAAGAATTACAGATTGGTGGCCGTTAGTTACTCGTTTGACGGTGCATAGTTACATGCTTAAATTTCAGTTGAGAGCCCAAACTCTAAATACACGGAGCAACAAGAATCTATAAAAAGATCTTCGAACAATCTAACAACTTGATTACCAAATATCTAGTAGTAGCAAAATCTTAAGACCCAAATTAAAGATGATGTAACCATATTAAGTTCCCAGATACATGCACACTTTCAAAATCTTCAAACTTTCATTTCTTATATTATTAGACTTTTAAAAAATGAATTGCAAATTGGAGAGCATTTGAGAAGTAAAAGCTGACATTCCAAACAGTATCCCTATACTTTTCACTCTGTTCGGGAATATTTGACAGAAGGATATTGTTTAAAGGAGTTGCGTTTGGGAAGTTAGGTTCACCAAGCTTTCAACTTTAATTTCTGTCCATACACGATAACAGTGAAGTAAATGATGTGCTACACTACTTTCAAGTATCAAATAATATGGTTTTTGTTCCTGACAAAGATATTGAGGGACCTTCAGCTGCAAGCATTTGGTGTGCTATTTATAGTGATGGTGTAGTGGTATATTTATAGACCTAAAAACAGTGAATATCCACCTTATTATTTGGAAGTGGGGGTAGTGAGCTTGTCAAGCAAGATGAAATGAAGTAGGGTTTTCTATCCTAAATGGGCCTTGTATCTAGTACTGAGACCCGAATATGTCCAACTCCTACGTTCACCCTATAACTGAGACTTGCTATCTCGAATGGACCAATTTTTAATTTACATAGTTTAAACTTTATATGTATACTGGAGAGCAATTACAGCTACTATACGATCATGGTTGCTAACAAATAGGATAGGTTTTCCGCCCTTGTAAGAAGACATAGGCATATAAACTTGTTAAAAAAAATGGTCAAACAAGAACTTCAAATAAGCCTAAGATATACACACATGCATGAGTGTGCACACAATATCAGATGAATTTCCAACAAAATCCGCCAATCGAAATGAAAGGTTGGTTTGAAACTCATCCTATATTGTTTAACATTCCATTCTCGTATATCAATTTAGTGTAGCAGTACGGATCAAACAAACAACAAACAAGGTGATGTGGTTCTCTCTCTCTCACCTACATGCATGTTTCGGTGAATGAAACCGACATAAATTTAGCACGAGGACATATCACCAAGATGATAAATTTTAATAACCAATATATAAAATCCCTACTCTATCAATGTTCCTTTAATATTAACAGACACATACCATTATATTTTAAAATTGTATGGTTTAACAATGTAGTAATCAAAATAGTTTTCATTTGTGCTTCTCAGCATTCAGAAAAAGCAACTTGCATGACTCCAGTTAGGTTTAGGGATATTTGCAATGCTGATTGTGTGTCACTTTTGAATAAACCTATTATCTAAACCAATCATAATTATACATATTAGGTTAGGTTTGTGTGATTTAATAGTCAAACACAACCCGGTCATAAACATATAGTCAAAGAGAATAAAACATATTGCTCACAGTAATCATATAACACATCATATACAGGCAGTAATTGCCATAAATTTTTATAAGAGAACATGCTTTTTATAACATGGCATTAAATATTATCAGCAGCAGCACTAAAAATTCCATCCAAAATAATTTTTGTACAACACCATATATAAAATAGATGATTTATGTATTTAAAAGAATGTGTGTGTGTGTGTGTGTGTGTGTGTATATATATATATAATATAATATATATATATATAGGTATATATAATTTTAATAAAATATCATGTCAATAGGGTTGGGTTCACGGGACAAGTTCACAAGTGTTCTTTCAATTAAGACAACTAACTGCCTAGGATCTTATACACAAAATATATGAATTTTAATTTTGAATGGAATAGTAAGATTCAGGCAGATACATGAGAACTACGATAATAAGCAACCTTAAATCGGAACTACATTGACAGTTTTTCGCACCAACAGCAGCACTGCCAAATGACATTTTATGGTAACAGCAATACATGAGAACGGTAAATCCACCCAAAAGAGAACCAAACACCAAATCAAAGCACAATTACATGGACAAACCAGTAGGTACTGAAGCAAAAAAAAAATCAATTAGCACCCACCCCACAGAAACAAAAACAAACCAATTGAAGAAACAAGAGTTCAATCAAATCCCAGATCAGCCAGAATCAAACTGAAGGAAGAAAGATTGAGGATTGAGCAGAAATAAGTTGGCAAGTCTCAGATACCATTAGAGCAACAATTCTAAAATCATTAACAAAAATTATCAAAAATGATTTAATTTAAAAGGAAAAGAAAAACTATCAATACATGAAGCTGGGACTTACTTCTTGTTGAATGACATCATCACATAAATGAAGAAGTGTACCCTTTCCACTGTCAAGTTGTTTGTCATACATTGACTGTGTAATCAAATTTTGATATTGAGCCATGTTTTGTTGGAACCTACGGGGAAAATAAATTAGTGACCACGATGGTTAAATATATTCAAATGCATTTACTTCCATACACCTCAAGTTATTGGAGTGTAAAAATGATAATGTGAACACAATTCAACAATCTACATGAATTGGTATGAAAAAGAAAATGAAGAGACAACAATTTAACAAGTCAACAGTGGAGAGATTTCTATAGATTAGTGTCCAACAAAAATCGATCAAGTTTCAGAGCTATATGAAGGCAATTTTCACAGCTGTGAAGTGGCAACATTCAGTTAAAGTATGATCTTTATTGGGTGCTTAACAACTTTATTTTCCTTAATTTAGATCATAATCCCTCTCATTATAAAATAGTTTCTTTTGTATATCTTTTTGCAGGAGCAAGTGATAAATTTCATGGGAAAACAACCAATCAAGGACAGAGAAAACAACAACTTAGAAAAATGGGAAAGCATAAGAATTTATAATCTTAGATCAAGCCATCTATGCACGGAAGGATTTGCTTAGGTGACTCACTTTTAGCTTGAGCAAAAATCAGCACAAGCAGTCGGATCTCTTGGCCTCAATTTCACTCAAGCGAAGGTACCTTTTTCATCTTTACACATAGGATTTGCTTGAGCAAAGTTGTAGAATATAAAAGGGTTTGGTTGGTAGTGTCTTTGCTGAGGGTTTGAGAGAGGTCTGAAAGAATAGCACCAAGGAGGAGAAGAAGGCCTCCAATCAACTGAAAAGAAGATTTAAAGCTCACTTTTTTGCTTTCAAACTGAAAGAAGAGCACACACACACATCACTCATCTTCTTTAACATAATTAGGTTAGGGTTGGAAAACAAATCTTAAATTTGAGGTTTTGAGGTTGAATCACACACACACAATCTTCTGTTAGTTAATTCGAGTTCTGAGCTTAAAGCAAGGATTTTATTATGATGACTGAGGAATCAGAAGTTATAGTTCTAGACTTGAACTAGAAGGATTCTTGAGCTTCAATATCACCAAGTAACTTAGCCAATACACACACACACATAATCAAGAGAGTACAGAAAACGGAATAGGTGAAGTTTAATCTCAATACTTAGCATTCTTATTCCAAATCTAGCAGATTTTACGTTTGAAATTGGAACTAAAATCAAGTTGAAACACTATTTTCTATAGATTTCACTTCCAGTCAAATACAAATTATGATTACTATAAATTTTACATAAGTCCTTGTGGATACAATACTTGTTAAAAGTATTACATCTACTCAGTATGCTTGCTGAAAGGAAAATCTTAACAGCATATATCACCAATGACAGGGAACAAGCAACAACATACTTACGTGAAGTATGTCTTGGCAATATAACCAATTACAGTGGATAGAACAGCAATGATGACCCACCAATCAGCTGAAGGCATTTCAAGTGAACTAACTACAGCAACCTGATAAGAACATTAGATTCAATAGTTCAGGATGATGGAAAACAAGAACACTATAACATAAACAACAAATCAAGGTTAAATGACTAACCAGCCCAACTATAGCTGATCCAAGAAACTTGACCCAATCCATTGGTGTTAATCCAGGGTTTTTCTTTTCTGGCTGTCAAGTAAGAAGTTCTTGACATAGGTCATTACTAGTACTCAGGAAAAGTTATTAATAAAAATTATAAGAGATTCATGTTAGATTTCTGTTTAATGGCATATGACGTCGTTTCTAGTTTGTGTAAAAGATGTTTCCAGACTCTGTTTTGATTGTAGCCAGCTACCATAGGTGGTACAGTCTGTACTCCTTTTCAATTTCTTAGTGTAATTGTTTGACTTTATATATATATATATTTCAGCTGAGTATGTAGCAGAAGACATTCAAAATTTTAACCATAATATTCAGTATATCAAGTCTTCACAATGAGGTAACTCACAAGAACTATTTCCATATCAGCCATCGGAATGTTTTTAAAATGCTTCACAAATATTCCTCGTTCATCTTTTGATTTGGTTCTGGCACTCCTGAAAAATAATTTGCTTCTTAGATTTAAATTTTCAACAGAGGTTTGATGTATAAGGAAGATCTACCTGTAAACAACAATTATCCTATCAAATGTCGGTTCTTGGATTAAGGTCTTGCCCAGCAAATTCCGTCAACTAGCAATTGCAGCAAATAATCACATGAGTGACAGAATCAACACATTAAAAATTTATGAAAAAAAAATGCATAAGCACTGCATTTTGGTGAGAAAGAAACATAATATACTTCAAAGACAAATCAGTAGATATACTAAATATATGTGGAACTTTAAGACAGTTGAATAATTTCCGATCCCATATATCAGAGATTACATAATGACTAAAGATACGACTAAATTATAGTATGTAAGTGTGTAAAAGTCTTATCATTCAGGCTAGTTTTGTAGGCATAAGTTAGGCCTAAACTCATTTTCTGAGATGGTATCAAAATCTATTCTAGCAAGGTTTGTTAGGGCCATTATGTCATCCACTAGCTGGCTACTATTGAACTAGAAGATGTATTGGCAATCACATATTGATTAAATATATGGTCAAAATTTACCATATAAATGGATAAGGCATAAACTCCATCTTCGAAGAGTTTGTAGTGTTGAATAAGGCATAAACTCACTTTTTAAGATTGTACTTAAATTCACTTTTCTGAGTTTTATATTTTCACCACAACAGAATTCCCCATGTTCCCTGAACTCAACCAACAACATCAATCCAGGTTGACCATTATCTCAGACCAATGTTTATTGCTAGAAGTGTAATATAAAACCATTCATATGAGTTCATATAACAACTTCAGTTTTTGACATGGTTTAGTCACTTAAAAGGATTTTAGAATAGTTTATTCAGTACAAAGTATTAGAGTTTAAGATTTTCATCACAAAAATTCTCCATGTTCATGTACTCAAGCTTAATGAATACCAAAAACCTCAATCCAAGTTGTCATTGTTTATTGTTAGAGATAGTTCAGTCACCAAACAAGTTTCTAGGATAATTAGTTCAGGACAATGTATCAGACTTTCCGGGTTCACATGATCTAGAGTTTAAAGTTCTCTGTCCTTGTTCTTCTAATAAAACGACAAATTCTGTAAAAGGTAGGTGACCAGTGAATTATTGATACTACAAGGCCAAAGGGCTCTTAAGTGAAGGGACATGTTACAAATATAAAATAAAACCATTCATGCATCTTTACCTACTAATTTAAAGCTTTAAAGACAGTTGCTTCATGACCTTCACCTAATATTGAGGTTTTATACTACTAAGATGGTTGTATTTCCAGAGTAATGAACATTCGGTACCAAAATTTTATGAGGTACAGAGCATAGACTGAGAATTTAAATAGTAAGTTGAATGAAAGATGCCAACAATCAATTTTCAGAATTAACATTCAACTTGCGGATGATGGTCAATCTTACATGCCAAAATTCATCTCATTCAATAAGCTTCTATTACAATTAATAAATTATATAAAGGCACTGGCCCGCATCCAGAAAGAAAATAAGAAAACAAGAAATATAGCAGTAGCAAGAACAATGACGCAGAGCGAGAGAGAAGCATTTTACAACCTTAGTTGCATATTTTCAAGACGTATTCGCTCAACATAAAGGTCCTGTTCATCTACTTCAGGGTTAATTTCATTGTCCTTTGGATTTTTCTTATTTCTCCTTTTTGACCTTCTGGATAAGAGCTTTTCCAACCTGCAAGCAGTACAGCTCTCTAAAGATGTATGGAAAAAAAACAACTAAAGAAGCATGCTGTGTATATTATGGTACATACATGAATAGATTAAAATTTATGGCCTTTCACTACAACGAAGCTCATATTGACTATAACCCATGGAAACAATAAATTATTTCATATTGGCCTTTTACATGTCCTGCTGAGACAAGCTAATATAATAATCAATAGTGGATATTCATAGCGTCAACTACTAAATATTCCAAACTGAGTCTGCTTACCTAGTTAGCCTCAACAGATATGCCCAAAACCGTCCAATAAGCATGTCCACTTTCTCCATGACAAAGTAGTCACTTGTTCGATCAATTCCGATGCCACGACGAAAGATAACATACTAAAATAATATGCTTTGTTAGCTTGCCATTTCACAATCAGACTAAACTCAAGGGACAACAACAATATTTAGATTGGAATTTGTATGTGCAGGTTCAGCTCACTTATTTTGAGGAACTATAATTTTTTCCAATCTACTGCAAACAACTAAAATAATTATAATAATAATTGTGAACCAGCCTCTACTGCAAGTATACAACTGTGTGAGAGACAGAGAGAGGGAAAGATCAACAATAAATCAGCATCAAACAAATCAAGTAACAAAAACTAAATAATATCTGATGTCTACAAAGTTGTGGTCTTCATTTATAAACTTAACATCACAACATCCGATATTGGACCACTACCAAAAGTCAGTCGAATCAATCAATGTGATTCATGATTTGGTCCAAAACTCACAACTTCATAAGAAAATTTAAGATTCTGTTTCTCGAACAAGGATGGACTGCCAATACTTCAATATAACATTGTCTAAACCAGTTGTTAGGGTTTTGAACTTTAAACAGCTTGTAGAATGTCTATATCATTTGTAACAAAAATAAATAAACTTGAAAATGAAAGGTCATTCCCCTAAAATGATTTTAAGAATGTTACAATAACTTAAAAATGGGGCAGGGAACAACTGACACATACATATACAGATTCCCAGCCAGATAATAAAATAACGAACCCCACAGAACCATGAAATTCTCTGGGATAAGTACCTCCTACACTAGATTAAGAGCCATACCTTATCAGAAAAATCAGGAAGGTCATCATGAGGATGCTCTACAAAATATTTCTTCAGAAGTGTCTTGTCAAGCTTCATCAGCAAAAATACAGATATGAGCAACTACTAACATCAAAAACAGACATCTAGATATACCATTAAAGGAATGTGAATTATGCACAAACCTTAGACTCATCAACAGTAATGGGAAGATTTAGAAGATATTGGCCTGAATGTGCAACGTCAATCTCATCATCAGTCACTATCTTGAAGTTGCTCTTTTCCATGACCTACATAAAGAATCAAAGAGTCTTCACTCAACCACTAAGGGGTATAAATTTTATTTACAAAATATCTCTTCGTTGTTTAGGTTTTGAAAATGAGATTTGTTATGATTACCTTAAGATAAAACCCATGTCTTTAGCCTTAATCATCAACGACCCTACTGTTTGTGTTGAAATGTAATGTTTCTTTATTATTATTATTTATGTATGGGAACCAACCTATTAGGCTAGGGTTTAAGGAAGTGCCTTGACCTTTTGTATTATGCTCCTTTGTACTCTATAAATACAGTAGTAAAATTGTACCAGTGTAATAAGAAAATACACTGTTTTACTTCATTCAAGTTCTTCAAGTGTGTTGTACAACAAATTTTTAACATTGTTACTGATAGGACTGAGGGTCTATGTTATGAGAAAGGGAGTTAAAAACAGAACATAGGTTGTTAGGTGGTTTGGGGTTGTTAGGCTTATAGTTTTCCTAGGGGGAAGACTATATATAGGTAGGGGGTGTCTTGTAGAGGGGACGTTGTTTTTGTATTTGAGAGGAATAGACAGGATCTGTGACGTCCTGTGAGAAGGGAAGCATTGTCCCTTGGCTGTATTCGAATAAAGCTGTTTTCCAGTTTTAAGTCTCAGACTCTGGTGTTTTTCTGGACCAAACCAGAACTAACAGGGTTGCTTGTCACCAAGAAACCTAACAGTTACTCTATGTTAAAAAGCAGCCATTTGACTTTTCACTCTTCCATCCTAATAACACAGGTGAACTCAAGACTGTAGCAACAATATTGCCTCATCCCTCCTCAATGCCGTAGGTTAGTTACTATATATTGAAGCAAATCTACTAGGTTCTCCAAAGACTAGAGTGCCACCAACATAGGTCTTACAAAGATTTTTTTTTTCCACCAAACTAATCCCTCAAAGGATAACCACTACCAAATTCATCCATTCAGCGTCACAACTTGAGTAGTTCATAAAAACGCGTGTGGAGACATTTTAGATCATAGAGAAACTAATTTGGTAACATAATCTTTGAAGATTAGTGTAAGATGTTGCTCTTTTTCGAGGAACTAATTTGGTGACAAAAAAACTGAAGAGGAAAAATCTAGAAGCATCATAACCACTGGGGGACTGGTGCATTTACATTTTATAGTAACACCATAATCCATGATAGGTTTTCAAGTTTATATTATTTTAACGATATCCCCAAGAGATTAATTACACTTGAATGCTAAGTAGAGAGAGTACCTGAAAAAGGTATGTTAAGAAATTCTGTTCAAGCACATCAATTTCTTCGGGGGATAAATTCTGCTGTTCCAACTTTTGTGCTCCGTGTACAGGGTCAAAGAGGGAATAAAGTTGCTGGAGACACAAAGAAATCAAAGCTCCACACTCACCAGGCATCTAAATATATATCAGAAAGATCAAGGAACGAATAATACCATCAAGTCTTCAAACTGTAGAAGGTACCAAGCTCGAATTGTGTACTCTATTCTCTTGGAGAGCTTCAAAAACTCAGCCCGGTCTGAACTATGCTCTGCATATAATACCCAAAAAGAATTCAAGTCACAGAATTTAATGACAATGAATTAAAGAAAAGGAGAAAAACGAGCCAAATATCTTCTAAAGTTAAAGATATAAAAAATCTGAACTAGCACTCAAAAACTAAATCATGTAAAGGGTCGGAAATACCAATCTCAATTTTGTTTTCAATTGTGGAAAAGCAACACTGATTTTGCCACCCTCAACAATAGTCTCAATTCCAAGGACAACCACAACACAATCAGAGCACAACAAAGTCCAGACACTCCCCAAAAATGATTTTATAACTACCAACATCATTAACAACAGAGAGACAAATTTCAGATGG